TTGTCACACTAGGCCAAGATCCAGTAACCAACTCAATCAATACATATTGTGATTGACAAAATGAATTCAAGCAACTCAGCAAATCAGAGAACAGAACAGAATGGAGTTATCAAGAAAGGGAAGAACCATGAATTAAGCTAGGGGTGGGCATTCGGTATTTCGGTTCGGTTCGGGTTTTTTTTGGTTTTTTCGGTTTTCAATTTTTTAAAATTACGTATCGAATACCGAACCAAAATATTTCGGTTCGGTTTTTTATTTCGGTTTTTTAATGGGCCTGTTTAGTGGGCTTTTTAAAATTTTAAACTTTACAATTTTTTGTTTGATTTTTGAACTTAATGGGCTAAAAAGTAAAAATAGACAAAAAATCAAAGAAGTGCATTACTAATTTACTACCAAATTTCAATATATCAATTATCAATGATTCAAATCTTCAATATGTCATTAGGCATTAACACCGCAAATTTTAAATTCACAATGACACTAAAACAAAAGTTGCATTGTAGATTTGTAGTTAATAACTTAATGTCTTCACAAATACAACATAATAAGAATATAACAAGTAACAATAAAGTCTTTCATTAACTCATAATAAACAATAATAAGCAACAAACAATGTATTTTGAACTTCTTGTCTTCTTCCATGAGATTACTTTCAACAATAACAAACAACAATAATGAGTTTCTTGACTTTCTTCCATGAGATCGCTTTCAACTTTCAAGTGTCACGTGTCAACAAAATTATTTCTTCATTGTCTTGACCCTTGGACCTTTTAAGATAAAATCAAATATTATAAACTTAGAATACTACTTTTAAGATTAAAAAATGATATGATTAAATAAATGATGTATTAAACTCACCGCTTGCAAGTCAACCATAGATCAACAATGGAAGAGCTTCTTCCACTATTTGCCATCTCTACAATTAATAAAAAGAAACATGTAATACAAGATACAACACAATAAGTATTTTATTTTTTCCATAAATAAATAAAAAATAAAAAGTCTTACCAAGTTCAATTTTTTCAAGAAACTCCAAACTTTCTTCAACACAAATAGGCTTGGTTTCTTGTCTAAGCCAATCTTGGACACAAATAAGATATTGCACACATTTGGGAGTCAATGAACTTCTAAAGGGATCTAGAATTCGACCACCGGTGCTAAATGCACATTCCGATGCCACACTCGACATAGAAATAGCCAATACATCTCGAGCCAACTGTGAAAGTACTGGAAATCTAGGAGAATTAACTTTCCACCAACTCAAAATATCAAAATCTTCAGATTCAGGTTCTTGGTCTTCAAGAAGATATTTATCCAACTCAGATTTCACACCTAAACTTCAAGAATCATTCTTTTGTTTCTTCATGTACAACTTAGTTCTCAAAGAATTTTTGGACATATTTTGAGAAATACCACTACCAGAAGAATCAGATGAGTCAGATGAAGATGATTGACTTTTGGAACCTTTTCCATACTTACTTACATATATCGCAAACAAATCCCTCAAGTAAGCCTCTACTTTCGTATTCACTACATTTCCCGTTTCTTCCCCAAGTAATTCTTCAAGAGCAAAACTAACATAGACAAATTTATTGCGAGGATCTAAAACAAAAGCAATAAAAATCATTTTGTTCATTTTTTCAGGAGTCCCCCAATATTTCTTGAATTTTTCTTTCATTCCCGAAGCCATTTTACTCAAATCAAGGTCATCACTTGCTACACATAATTTCAAATAAGCATCAAGTTCACATATATCTTTAAAATGAACATTACAAGTAACATACCGTGAACCTGAAACTTTCAAAGTGAGTTCATAAAATTTTTCAAGAAACTTTGTGACATTCCTCACATTAGCCCAATCTTCATATTGAATTGGCCCTGCGATACTTCCATCTTCACAAACATCGGTAGCAAGAAAAGAATTAAAATTACCATCATAAAGATCAAACCTCTCAAAAGCCTTCTCAAACTTTTCTGCTGTGTCTAACATCAAATAGGTGGAATTCCACCTAGTAGGCACATCTAAAGACAACATCTTATCACATTCTATCTTTTGCATTTCAACACATTTCAAGAAATTTCTTGCCCTTGAAGAAGATGATCTAACATATTTCACCATTCTCACCTTTTTGATTGAAGGACCAATTTCTTTCAAACCATCTTGCACAATTAGATTAAGTATGTGAGCCATACATCTCACATGGAGATGCTTACCTTCCATCAAATTAGTTCCCCACATATCTAATTTTTTGGACAACTCTAAAACTGCCACATCATTTGAAGAAGCATTATCAACCGTAACAGTAAAAACGTTATCCAACTTCCAATCAAGTAAACAATTACTAATAGACTCAGCCAAATGCTCACCTTTATGACTAGTGATAGGACAAAAATTCAATATTCTTTTATGAAGCACCCAATCCCTATCAATAAAGTGAGCAGTCAAACACATATAATTGATTCTTTGCACTAAAGTCCATGTGTCTATTCTGAGACAAATTCTTGGTTGTATTTCTCTTAAAGATTGTTTCAAATTTATTCTCAATTCATCGTAAACTTCATAACAATCCCTTGTTATGGTTATACGAGAAGGAATATGAAACAAAGGCTGGACTTTACTCATAAACTTCTTAAAGCCTTCTTCTTCAACAAAACTAAAAGGTAGTTCATCCAAAATAATCATCTCAACTAAAGCTCTCCTACATACTTCTTGCTCGAATTTCCAAGTCTCTAAATTGTTATTTTGAATATTTAATAATTTTTGAATACCGAGTGCAACAGTCGGAGGTTTATACAATTTACACCGATAAGTCAAATGTTGTTTTAGTCCACTTGTTCCATTTCTTGTTGTATTGGCATCATAATATTGTTTACAATGTAAGCACTTTGCTTTAACTAATACACCATTTTCATAAACCTTTTCAAAGTGTTGCCAAACAAGAGACCTAGGATCCATTTCTTTTCTTTTTTTGTTATTTCTGTACCAATCGACAAATCATTGCTATTAGTAGGTGTATTATCCGTAGAATCAGCCATACTTATTCGACTTTGATCAGCTACACCCATATTTAATTCTATTTGTTCAGCCATCTATATATATAAAAAAATCATAATAAATTCCCAATAACTATTAACTAGTAATAAAAATAAAATCAGATGAAAAAAATAAAAAAAAAAAATCAAAAAAATTGAAATTACGATTTACATACCTGCACCTGGGTTGGCTGGTGGCTGGCTGCTGCTGACCTGCTGTCGCCGGCGGCTGGCTGCGGCTGACCTGCTGGCTGCTGCTACCTGCTGTCGCGGCTCGCGGGCGGCTGCTGCGGCTGGTTGCTGCTGCTGCTGCGGGCGGCTGGCTGCTGCTCGAGGACGGCGGCTGGCGGTGCTGCTATTGGTGGCGGTGGACGCCGGCTGGAGTAAAAGAGGAAGAGGAGAAAAGAAGGCAGAAGTTGTGCTTAAGAGTGAAGAGGAGAGGATGAAGTTGAAGAGAGAGAGGATGAAGTTGAAGAAGTTGTGCTGAAGAGTGAAGAGGATAGGGTATTAGGGATTTAGGGTTTTTTATTTTTTTTAAAAAAAATTATTTAATATTAATAATTATTAAATATAATATAATTTATAAATTAAAATATAATATTTCGGTTTAAACCGAAATACCGAATTCCAAAGTAATACGTACCGAAAACCGAACCGAAATACCAAAAATACAAAAAAATTAACCGAATACCGAACCGAAAACCGAAATACCGGAACCGAAATTTTTTAAAATTTTAGTTCGGTTCGGTGTTTATGCCCACCCCTAAATTAAGCCACAAAATAAGAAATATGTTGATCATACAAGAAAAGGATCTAGCCGGCAAAGAAGAGCAGAAGAAGTGATTACCTCAGGAATCAAAACAACTAAATCGCCTTAATCAAGGACTCCCTAGATCAATCATTGATTGAGATAAATCCCTTGGGTTCTTCCTTACAAGAGTACACGTGTCATCTAAATAAGCCGACCCAGAATTTAGTGTGAAGTACACAACTTTATTTGAGCTTAGCAAGCTACTTTCTTTATCTTTCATAAAGCTTTGTAAATATGTGAGTGGTACAATTGAAAAGAAAAGAAAAAGAAAGAATATGAGTGTAGGCATACAAGTAGAGGCAATGCCAAGATATAAATTTGATTTGCATATTAGACACGATCAAGTTTTAAATTGTTATAACACGAATATCTTCTAAAAATTTTTAAGGAAATCCTTAAAACCCAAGGGAGCTGGACTAGGCACCACATTGGTGATTCGAACCAATATAAAACTCTTTGTGTCATTTACTTACTGCAAATTACTATTATTGATTATCTTTATACTAACTTGCCTGTGAGTCAACTAACGATCACATGTAGTTCACTAAGAGAATTTTAATTCAGCCACTCTTTGTTATCAATTGGTATTGTTGATATCCAATTCGGACATCCACAATATAAATTAGTCATCAAACTTCTTAAATTTTAAACGATTTGAAATAATTGACTCTATAAAATTTTAAATATTTTTCAAGTAATTTTGTCATTTTAAAAATAATTTATATAAAGTATATAATTTTTTTATATAATTATTTATATTAATATTTGAAAATCATCTCAAATTTTTTTTTATTTTATTTAAATATTTGATTAATTAGTTTAGCTAATTTATAGTTTATATTTTTGAGTTAATTAGTTTACAATTAAATTTTCTTTTATTTTGCTGAGATTAAAAAACTAGTTGATCAGTTAGCATTAATTCATCTTGTTTCAATTTTAGTCAAACTCTCTAAACTCAATTTTAATTTGACTAACTTCTCAATTTAAGTAGGCTAAGTTTGTAATCAATCCTTAGGCCTTTTCAATTAATTTCCTTGCCAATTACTTCAATATTTCTGGCCAACTTTGGGCCTTTTTTCCCAGCCCACTAATCAATTCCCAGCCCACTAATCAATTCCCAATCCAACAGTTACAACATTCTACTTAAGTCCAATTTCAATCAAAAGAACCACTTCAAGCAATACGTACCACATACCAGATTCCTTCTACTTCCTTTTCTAGCAAGAACACGCCCAGTCCAAGACGAAACCCAAAAAACCAGTAAAAGTCAACAACGACAGCAACTCCAAACGGCGTGAACAGTACCCCTCCTTTTGCGGAATCACAACTTTTCACATCTCCTTTCTCAATGTCTTGAAAAGGAACGATGTATTCGAATTTCAAATTCGAAAATTTCACCCTCTATATAAACTACCCCTACCCATCGTTGAAGGAAGGGGCGAGCATAGGGAGTTTTTGGATCGGAAATTGGACTTTTTTTATGGATTAATTTGCCACTCTTGAAGAAACAGGGAATTTTCATTAAGAAATAGGAATGTCGAATTGCTAAAATAGCACTTTAGGTTTAAGATTTTTCTCGAGGAAAACGTCCTTCTTTTTATACTCCGGAGCAGTTCACCGGAACTCATCTCGTTGCTTCATAGTCAAGCTCGTTGATTCCAATCGCTTAAAAAGGTAATAATCCTCCTTCTATTAATGATAGAATATTAAAAAGCTCGTTGATTCCAATTTAATCTCCGTTTGTCTTGTCTTAATATTGATGCCAAAATCTGTCATTTTAGCATTCATATAGTTAAATGTCCTGAACTCTGGTGAAGTATTTAATTTTGTAATATCATACTTCTCTATTTGAGTTTGGGTTCATGTTGGTTCGAAGCGTATGATTGATTCGCTGCAATTCTCATTCCTAATGCGTCTCCAATCATCAAATGGCGCTTCATCTAGTTTGTATTGTTAGTATCATTATCTACATAGGTCTGTGAGTCTCATGATTAATTAATATGGCTAATAGTATGCGGTGTAAATAATATCTGTATGCTAATGGCTTCGCTTTCTCTGTTTCTCAATCTTTTTGTGCTGCACTGTGCCCTTTTCATGAGTTGCTGCCTACTTCTTAAGGTTTTAGTTTTTCTTGACTACCTATATCGCATTTTGGATCCGTGATACTATTTTCAACTAGTGAAATGCTGCATCTGCTCTTTTTTGTATTTCTTTTATTTTTGTTTTGCTCTTTTGTAATGTGTTTTCTTTAATAATATTTGGGAGTCATTTGTTGTGCATTAATTGCTTTCTTTGACTTGTTACATTGTCCTCTCTAGTTTATAAATATGTTTGTAATATCTGTAGGTTTCCATGTTGGTGCTCCCCTTTATTTAGTTTTAAAGAAAAGAATATTGTTCAATACAGTCATTTATGACTAAGTCATGATTCCTTTTGATCACTGTAATGCATATCGCTAATTACCGTGTTAATTCACTATTTAATTGGTCACGTGTTCTCTAGTGTATCTCTTTAAAGATTCATGTTTGTCCTTGTATGATTTCTTTAGCATATCCTTTTTTCTTATTCGTTTGGTTGAGTTATGTGCTAATCTTTTGTCATTTTGTTGCATGTTGTGGACTTTCTTTTCTCTTTGCATTTCTGATACGAGCTTCAATTTCTTTACCGAGTCAACTCCTATTCTTAGTCAAACCATTGGAAGCAGAATTACAGGTTGAAAATATATACAAATAGAGTATTGTAATACAGGTTGAAAACAGATAAGGAGGTATGGGAGTACAAAAATGGATTATATATCTTTGTATACACTAATCTGCACGTACTGGATGTTGGTACACAAGAATATACAAAAATATAGACTCGCTTTATACACTGTATAAATGCAGGGAAATTGGGCTAAAACCCCATATATATGCGCAGATTTTTGGTAGTTTTAGGATAAGGCCCAAAAATCTAATTTTTTGTTTCTCTTTTATTTTTCCTTATTATTTGTTTATTATATGTAATTTGTTTAAGTCTAACCTTTTTATTTGATTTGGTTAAATGTAATTAAATTTCCAAAAGAGGAACTATATTTTTATGTTAATTTACTTGAATTAAATTTGGCTCCATATCAACTCTTGTATTTTTTATCTTTAACCAAAACTTCTTAAATTTATTTTAAAGAGTTTTCATGCTTTTAATTGGTGAAAAATATCATTTTTAAAACGATTCAAACAAATCTTAATTAATCCAGTTATACGTGAAAGTTTTAATCACTTATTTAATTAAGTTTCATTTGACATCACTTTCTCTAAAAAAAAATTAAATAAAATAGAATGTGTCATTTATTTAGCCATTTTTCTCTAAGTTGATCAAATTTTGTAAGTTATTGTTTTTTTTTATGTGAAATCACATTTTTTAAAAATAGTCAAAAAAGTATTTTAGTCAAGTGCTAACCGCATATTAGCAGCGCTTCAAATGCCTTAAAAACCTTTTTGAAGCATAAATAAAAACATCATATCTATTTTCTCTAAATTTTTTAGGACTTAATCTAAGAATTTTTTCTAACAATTATTTTATACTTAGAACATTTGAAAAAGTAAATTTTCTAAGATAGATAAATTATCATATAATAGGTATCAGAGCAAGTCTCACAGTATTAGTGTTTACCACACGTGAGTAAAGATCAAATGACACACTACCAAATCTTTGGTGCTCTACTTCAATATGAACACTCTTCACATCGACCACCAATCTTCAATGGACAACACTACTCTTACTGGAAAGATAAATTCATAATCTTTGTCTCCTCAAATGACCATCGAGCATGGATAGTCATCAAGAAAGGCTCAAAGCCAATTCCTCAATTAACTGAAAAAGATGGAACTGAATTTTTTTTATCCTGAATCATTCTATATATTACTAAGGAATAACAAGAGGTAATTCAAGCTAATATTAAAGCTATAAGTTTGTTGTATTGTGAGTCAAATTTAAGTTGATTTACCAACAAAAGAACTGGAAGAAGTAAAAATGCAGTTAAACAGTATCAGTCAGAAAGTCTCCAAGTTATATTTTTGTTCAATCAAACAGAATTACGTTCTACAAAAGGAACTCTCTAGGTCATAATTCTAACAGATCATATAGATCTTTCTCTCATCCTTATTCTCCTAATTCATCAACAACTATTGTTTGTTTCACTTGTGGCGATGTTGGTCATAGGTCCTTTAATTTTAGAAAATATTCTTCTGGAAAATGAATTTGGGGGACCAAAAGTTGTTAATCATCAAGGACCCAAAAATATTCGGGTTCCTAAAAAACTAATATTTTTGTCTTGCAGGAGCAATCTAAGAAAACCTACAAAAAAGGGCATGTGAATACTTGATAGTGGATGCTCGAAACATATCTGCAGAAAGAAGCAAAACTTCAAAACAATAAAAAGAATAGACGGAGGATGTGTTAGATTTGGAGACAATACCAAAGGAGAAGTTACCTGAGTCGGAACTATTACACTCAGTTCAGCATGCGATTTAGTCAAAGTATACTTAGTCGGAGGACTCCAACATAATCTACTCATCATGAGTCAACTGTGTGATGTTATATTTCAAGTCATATTCAATACAACCAATTGCATCATTAAACATCATGAGAAAAGGCTGTCACTTATAAGAGATTGAGTAAACAATATTTATATCTTAAATAATGTTGATTGTCCATCTCTTACCTATCTTACTGCAGTTGCAAGCGATCCATGGCTATGCCATCGAAATCTTGGACACACAAGCATGCACGCTCTTGAAAAATTATCTAGACTTGAACTGGTGATTGGACTGCCAAAGCTAAAGTTTGAAAAAGATCACATATGTGACACATGTCAAATGGGTAAGCAGACTCGTTCATCATTCAAAAGTGAAGATATTGCAAGTACATCTAAACCCCACGGTTTCTTCATATGGATTTTTTTGGTCCAACTCGAACTGCTATCATTGGATGTAAGATATATGCTTTCGTGATTGTTTACGAATTCTCAAGGTTCACATGGGTAGTATTCTCCACTCATAAAAATAAAGCTTTTGCTAACTTCAGAGCCTTTTGTAGAAAAGTTCAAAGAGAAACATGATACTTCATCACAACTATACATAGTGACCATGATGGTGGATTTGAAAATAAAGTGTTTGAAGAATTTTGTGAACTTCTCTTCACCCAGATCCCCTCAACATAATGAAGTAGTTGAATGGAAAAATCGATCTTTATAAAATACGAAAAGAACAATGCTTTTGGATAGAAGCTTACCTGATCACTTTTTGGTAGAAGTTGTTAGCATTGTGTGTCACATTCTAAACAGGTGTTTGATTAGACTCATCCTGAATAAGACTCCCTATGAACTATGGATAGGTAAGAAACCAAACATAAGCTACTTTCATCCCTTCGGATGCAAGTTCTTCATCCACAATAATGGGAAGAATAATCTTGGATGTAGGAGGTCACAGGAGGTGAAGGCGAAATCACTCCCATTAAAACAGCTGAAAATACTGCACATATCAATTCTAAAAGCTCTGTTGAAGAGTCGACTATCACAGAGGCAGAGTTGATTACTAAAGCTAACAAAAGTTCCAAGAGAATGGAGAAATAATACTAGTTATCCTGAAAACTTTATTCTCGGTGAACCTAATAACAAAATTCATAAGCGATTTTCTCTCAGAAAACAAGCTTCTATTGCATCGATAGCTAAAATGTAAACCAAATGAATAAATTAAACTATGAAAGATGAGTCATGGGTACAGAAGGAAGAACTTGATCAATTAGAAAGGAATCAGGTGTGAACTTTCATAGAAAGACCAAAAAGTTGCTTTGTTATCGGAACCAAGTGGGTATTTAGAAACAAACTGGATGAAAATGATTAAGTTACTTGAAAAAAAAGAAGGGTTAGTTGCTCAAAGCTACTCACAACAAGAAGGTATTGATTAAGATGAAACCTTTGCACCTGTTTCAAGGTTAGAATGTATTCGATTTCTGCTTCCTTATGCTTCTTTCAAATAGTTTAAACTCTATCTGATCGATGTGAAAAGTAATTTTCTAAACGGTTTTATAAAAGAAAAAGTTTTCGTCAAACAACCCCCTGGTTTTGAAAATCCATCTTGTCCAGAATTTGATTATAAACTATTCAAAGCTCTTTACGAACTTAAATAAGATCCAAAGGCTAGATATGAAAGATTAAGTTCCTTTTAACTTCAAAACAATTTCCAAATAGGGTAAATTGATACTACTCTCCTCATAAATGATCTTGTACATGCATTCTTATAGTTCAAATTTATGTTGATGATATTATCATTGGAATTTCTAATCCTTCTTTATGTGAGAATTTTGCAAATCTGATGAAAGGAGAATTTGAAATGTGTCTTATGGGAGAATTCACTTTCTTTATCGGACTTCAACTCAAGCATTCAACTAATGAAACTTTCATTAGTCATCGAAGTACACTAAGGAGTTAATTAAGAAGTTCGTACTCGAAAACTTCAAAGCATTTTGTACCCCAATGAGTTATTCCACGTGCCTTGAGACAAACACACCAGGAAAAGATGTGGACGAAAAGATGTATATAGGTAAAACACTCGCAAAATGAAATAGGATGAACTAGAGTCTCACATGGATTTTATGAGTTAATAACTTGTTAAAATAATGAAGAATAGATTTAGAAGCCAGTTTTGAAGTCAAACGTCAAGGGACAACTAAGACGTTGTGCATATTTTTATGTGTTTGGAGTCTAAAGTCAGTAGGATTACCCTAAGACCTATAGGTATATCTTTAGGGTCAAAATTTCCAAGTACGGCTCACCAAGGACCAACATAAGGGTCCTTGAGGAGGACTAAACTTTTGGAGAGAACCTGTCAAGGTAGCAAGCGAGCAACCTTGAGGGAGTGGTTCCGCATCGTGGACTTGCTCCATCAAGGACCAAAAAGTTGGTCCGTGCCATCAACCTCATGGTGGACCCTTCTGTCCAAAAATTAATTTCCAGAAACTTGTGGAAACACCTCCGCGACGCATACTTGTTCTCCAACGATAATTTCAAAAATAAAAATTAAGTATGACTTATTTAAAAATGTCCAACTAATGTATGTGTGTTTTGCTTATTATAGGGGTGTATTATATATTGGATTTGAGTCATTTTACACCCATTCCCACGCTAAAACAAATCCCGAAATCAAAAACCCAATTGCTCTCACCTCTTTCTAAAATTCTCTCTATTCAAATCCTCCATTGAAGGACTTTCATGCTCCAAGGAAGAAAGTCAATTCATCAAGTTTTCAACCCAAATTTTGTGGGCTTCCTAGTACTAAGGTATGGTAATTTTCATTCTTGAATAACCGCTCATTCAAGAAGTCCAATTTAAAGGTTCTCAAAAGTGAATCAATGATCAATTTTCCAATTTTTGACTTTATGCATTAGAGTTCATTGTTTTCTAGGTCATGATATTGATATATTCTTGTTGAATAAAGGATTAAAGATGATTTTAATTGAATTCTTTGAAGAACCCATGTTTTGTCCTAATTACATAAATTGGCTTATGAAGTGGGTTTGATGAATGTGATCACATATTGTTAGAAATGTGTTTATACTATGTTGTACTAATAGTATCTAGTGCTATCCATGCTTAATTATGATGAATAATTGGAGAATTGAGAAATGGTGATCATGGCAAGGATTAAAGGTAAGTTGATCTAAATTGTTCTAGTTTGTGGTGGTGGTGTTTAACTAATGTATATGATATGTATGTGTGTTGTGGTTATAGCCTTGAAGGCATAGAATGTGAAGTAAAGTAATGTCATGATGCTTATGTATATAGGTGTGGTATGAAGTTATGAATGTGTGTCTTGAAGATAGTATGACTAATTAAAGTATGATTAAAATGTGAAGTATGATTGTGTGTGAATTATGATAAATGAAGTATGATCTTGTTTAGAAGACAATGTATTGAATAATGGTGGTTATGTGAAAGGTTTTATCATATATACATACAATGAATGAATGAAGCTAATGAAGATGTAATGAATGTGAGTCTATTGAAAGGTTTTCTCAATAGAACTCTAATGAATGAATTGGATATTGTGGGGTGGACACTCTTCGTGAGTAGATATGTAGTGTTTAGTATGAACCTCAATATTCCTAAGAACATTCTAATGAATGAATGATAGGTTGGGATGAGTACTCTCCGTGAGTTGAGATGTAGGGTCCGTTTGGATGGGCTTAATAAAAGCAGCTTTAAAAAAGTACTTTTGAAAGTGCTGAAACTTATTTTTAAAATAAGCAGTTATGCATTTGGATAAAAGTGCTGAAGTTGTTATGTCAAACGTGAAAAGGGGAAACTAGAAGAAAGAGATGTTAGGGTTATATGGGTAATTTGGAGATTGTATAAAAATATTAAGGGAAAAAACATAAAAATGTGGTCAACTTAAAACAGCTTATAAGCCAAAAAGAAAAAAGCACCCCTACCCCAACTTTTAACTTTTGGCTTAAAATAAGTTTTTTTAAACTTAAAATAAGCTATTTTGAGTATTGCCAAACAGTTAAATAAGTCAAAAACCAGCTTTTAAGTCAGTTTGACCAGCTTTTAAGCTGAGCCAAACCGGCTCGTGTATTTAGTAGCAATCCTTTAACCTATAACTAATGAATGTAATGAAAGTTGAAACGTTCGTGGGGATTAATGGTTAGTACCTAGAGGATTTGAAAAGGGGTGGATACTTTTCGTGAGTAGAGATGAAGTATCCAAAAGTAACCTCTTGAGATGGGTACTCTTGTGAGTTGAAATGTAGTACATAGAAGTAATATCCTTATCCCTTAACTATGCACCCGCATAGGACTAGGTAGTGGTATTCCACGTAAAGTCTAAAAGAATGACCCTACCTTAGGCAAGTGGGGACCACTCACCAGGTAGGGGTTAATACCGGGATTCTATGTTAAGATTTCATAATCTATGTCGGTTAAAGCTAGCCCCCACAAAAGAATGTGATGAACTAGGTCTTTCTAAGGGTGTACTACTTAGGGTAGCTGGTGGAATGAGACACTATCTATGCATTGCACGAGTAGGCATTTAGAGGGAGTCTTAGTGTGTCATTGTAATGTTAATGAATGAATGGGTTGTTATATGATGTTAATGAAGTAAGTTTACTTTATGTCTAATGTTATTGAAACATGTTGGTCTTATGTCTAATGTTAATGAAGGTTATGTGAATGGTTGACTTGTGATGTGCCTAGTATGGGGTGGTTCCGAAGGAGCACTAAATGGGATTAGTGATATGTGATGCTACTTTCACATTGCATTAGTGTAACTTAGATTTATCCTTGGGCATGGTCTTTATTTGAAGTTTTTAAATCCATGAATGATTTCTCTAGTATCTCTCGTAATGAATGTTGACTTGTTGATTTGTGATGGAAAGGAAATATCGTTATCTTTAGTAGTCTTAAGGAACACTTAGGTGTGTAACGAAGAGGTTGTACAATATCTTCATTTCTTACCTAGGTGAGTCTTAGGATAACTTCGGATAGATGGTCTAAATTGTTAAAATGGGTTAATTAATGAATATGATTACATGTTAAGAGTTACGAGAGTATGACTTTGTATATTAATGATTGACTTGTATGATGTCTTTTACACTTAGTTCATGAAGTTTATCAATTTAGCATGAAAAGCATGTATCAACTAAAATGTCCTTTTTAAAGCATGTTTTTTGCAAGATTGACATACTTAGTGCTTAATTGTACTAACTCATATTCTTCTTTATTTCTAGAAGTATAGGTGGAAGGA